CAAATCAAGTAATTTACACACTTATCGTTCTAAACAAAAAAAATTTTAGAAAAAAATATATTTCATGTTTAATAAAAGCTCAAAATTTTAAATTATAAGTAATTGCATATTAGATACCTCAAGAAATTTTTTATTTCTTTATTTCATTGATATTTGCTTACTTTTCGCAATAATCGTACTTTCTGCATACATTTTAACTTTAACAGATTTTTGTATAAAATAACATGCTATAAATCTTTAGATAACTATTAAGTGATCTTAATTAATATTTACGAAGCTAAAGCTAGAATAATCACTCTTAAGATATAATTCATTCATTCAAGTATTTATATAAATGATACTTTTCAGTCATTGAGAATTACTTCTATAATTGCGTTAAATTCAGATTTATTTCTAACTTTTTAAAGATTTTTTTAATATAGTTTAGTAACTTATTCTTTTTCTTTAACCCTATTTTTTATGATATAAGATTAAAGCTTCATTCATCTAGTGATCGCCGTAACCAATTCAAAAAGTCACATACTAATCTGTGCGACAATCGAACCCATACCAGATAATATGTCTACGAAAAAATTAATACGTTGCTCTCTGAACTAGTAGTGAAAGGTATAAACTTTTATTTCATCTTTGGAAATAAATATACAGAGTAAATAACTAATATATTTCACGGTTACTAACGCCCATGATAAATGATTACGTAATAATTAACAATTATTTTTTAAAAAAATTTTTTTCTTCCTCACAAAAATTAAAAATGAGATCGAATAACAACACCCAATTTAATACCGCCCTGAACTTACCTAAAGTATCTAAAAATAGTGAAATTGAAAAAGCAGTTTTCATTTTATCAAAAAAATCACATGTTCAAAATACAGACAACAAAAAATTGGTTAGCACATTTTGAAAATTTCGAAAAGATATGGTTGATTCTTCACAAGAGGAGCAATACAAAATACAATTGCATCTTATTTCGGACATTTCTATACTAGAAAATCAAGTAGCAGGTCAGGTTACATTCCTACTATGAAAAAAAGGATGGAACTGAATATATAGCATTAACAATAAGACAAGCTGTTGATGGAATTAATTGATATTTAATGGAATTTTCAATGATTCATGGAATTAATCTACAGGATCGTTATCAGTTTCCTGTTTTTGATGGTAAAATGAAAATGCTTCAAGATAATGGACTTGGTAAAGTAAAAGGATCTGCAGCTTTAACTTAACAAAATATGACAGATCCTGCAACTTTAATATCAACTCCAGATACTTTTATTAAAAGAGTATTTTCACAATGCACTTCTATTAGCTTATTGGGGTGGTGAGTATTATCAATTAAAAATTATTCAATTTGATTTTCTCAAAGATGGTAGAATTGATTTTCAAAGATTTCATGCAAAAAATAATCAACATAAGTTGTAGTACTTTGTTTTATGTTTCGGACTATTCATCAAAATCTGAAATATTTAGAATTTGTCTATTATCTAAATTTAAATATCTCAAAGAATAATTTTTCCGTATTTAAATTAATTTATTTTTCACCGTGTGCATTCTTTAAAGTATTTAAACAATAAAACCCAGGTGTTTTAATGAAACAAAATACACAATGCCCTATGAAAAAAATCCCATACAGTTTTTGTGCCAAAAAAAATCACTACCCTAGTAACTGTACATTTAAAATTTTTAGCACATTTTTCCTACAAAATTTGAAATAAGAAATTACATGTACTAACCAATGAAGATTTTGTATGATTATTTCCTAGTGTTGTGTTCAGTTCTTTAGGGTTTATATTTATAAACGAATGTATGATATAGCAGAAGGATTTTTAATTGTGTAATAATTATGCAAAATTATTTAATAAAAACTAATAAATCAGTACTGCCTCAAACGTCAGCGCTCTGTACTTTACGGAGTTAATTTTATTAAATGTTGATCCTATGAAATGACTACAACCATTAAAAATATCAAAATAAGGGAATATTGGAGAAATTATATTTTATTAAAGGTATAATTATATGCACTGCCTTCTTTATCCCAATAATCAATCCATCTTTTTTATACATTATTTTCGAGAGGACAATTTGCTCAGAGGACAAATTGACTAGAGATCGTTTTGACCAGTCAGTCGTCAATTTGTCCCGTGGTCGACTTGCCAAATGGTCAATTTGGCCTATGCTGATCTTCAAAATTACTAACTTTATTAAGCAAACAATGCAATGCTAATAATTTTAAAAATATATTATTATATCACATGCGTAATAATTTAATTGCCATTGTAACACTTAAATTTATTATCATAGAGAGATAGTATTTTTGTCTGTTCTACAAGAAAGGTTTTAAATATCAGTTTGTTATTATTTGTAAAAAATTAATTTACCCACTTTCAATAAATATTAAATTTCCATACGTATGTTTTAATTTTTCTATACAATTTCAGTACAATTTTTATAAATTTCAAATTTCAAATTTTTTCTGTACGATTTCTCCGTTAAAATTTCTGTACGATTATTTTTTATGAAAAATTGAAATAACTAAACAAAACTGTATGATTTCAGCATACACCTGTACAAAATTTGTACGAAACCTTACAACTTTTTTTATAGGGATGAAGCGTAGTTTTGGTTTCCAAAATGACAGTCAGGATGATTTGAATATATGTGTAAGTCTTATTTATTTTATTTTTTTTTTTGATTTCGTATTTCCTTACTCATGGTTTCTTGTTAGGATTACATCTTCAAGTTCGTTTTTTAGTTTTGGGTTGGGACAAAATAAATTTTGCAGCCCGACCGACGGTTGCCGCTCCGGTTTTTTCATTTCGTCACGGGAACAGATTTGATAGTTCGAATAAATAAATAATTTAAATGTTTTACTAATACCAAGGTGTTTAGCAATTTGACGAGCGAGTTGTCAAGATCTTTCCTCTAACATGTGTTGAAAGCAAAGCAGTGTTGTCTGCATATCTACATAGTTGAAATACGAAATGTGTAAGGGTCTTGTTTATTAACTATCAATCTGTTCACGTGACCATCTGGCCGGAAAATTTATTTTGACTATGGTCGGTCTTATGAAAACAGCAGTAACCGGTGATTTAGGATTTTTAGGCCGGTTCTAATCTCTAGTATTAGAATAGGCAAGCTTTTTTTCTTCCTTTTTTTATTTTACATTTACATTATTATTTTTTAATATTACTAATTATTATAATTTTAGATTAGATTTGCTACGTCTTTATTTATTATTATTATTATTTTTTTTTATACAATAATTATTTTTATTGCTTCAAGAATCATAAATAAGTGTGATATAATGCTATATATAAGTAATATTTATGCAATTATAATTTGTTATATTAAATAAAATATTGTCGCAAATGCTTATTTTTTATCTTTTTTACAGGTTTATTTTTTTTTATGATTTTCAATTTCAGAAATCAGTTTATTTGGTAGTGATAGTTATCCCGATTAGTTTATTTGTGGAACAGGAATAAATTTAACCGAGGGCTGATTAATTTTTTAAATAAAAGCTATAACCATTCAGAAAAGGCAAACTAAAAAAAAATGGTTTTAAAAATTAATTTAGAAAAATCCCTAAAAGACTTAGAAGTGAGAATTAAGGAGTTAGAGCAAAGTAACGAAGATTTACGTTCACAATTCAAATGTTTAGAAGAAAACGGTAGAGTACGAGAAGCAGAAACTCAAGCAAAGCAAGAAACTATTGATAATTTAGAAAAAAAGGTTAGAGAAGAAACCAAAGCTAAGCAAGAAATTATTAATAACTATGAAGAAAAATTTAGAGAACGAGAAGAAGCATCCAAGGAAAAGCAAGATATTATTAACGGCAAATTTCAAATGGAGCAAGAAATAAGCAAACTTATACTTTTATGGACATTTTGTGGATTAACATGCCATCTTTGTGGTTTAAAATGTGTAAAAAATCAAGATAACGAAGAATATCATGATTGTCTAACAGATCATAAATGTAATTTTCTTTACCACTTCAATGAAGTTCACAACATAAAATCAATTCCAACATGTAGTTTTATAGCTGGACAAGAAGGTAAACATGCTTGCAATGAAGTTAAACATTTATGTGGTGAATCATGTAGTCTTATCGATAAGCGTAATTGCCAACAAGTTTGCTCAAAAGTAATTGGACATTATGATTTACATTTGTGTCAATCTTTACGTCATTATTGTGGAGAAGCTTGTTCATTATCGACAAAATCCCAGAAAGGAGATTATCATTGCCCTAACAAATGTATCGTACCTTATGAAGAAAGACATGATTCACACCGCTGTGAAAATGAAACATGTCCAATTCAGTGTCCGATTTCAGATTGTCAGAGAAAATGTCAAAGCAATGAACATTTTCACTCTGATTCTAATTCGCAAGTGGATCATTTTTGTGGGTATGTATTAATATAATAATGTTATTTGGATTATTATCTAATATATGCAATTCATTAAAATATGATTTAAGAAATGAACATCAATGTCGTGAATTATGCGAAGAAGCTGGTATATGCAACGTAATAGTTGAACCAAAGAAGCAAGAGGAAATTTATAAAGGATTAGTTGAAGAAACTTCTATTACATTTACTAAGGTATAGATTAATGCATTATAATTATGTGATAAGCTTTTGAGGTTGCTATAAAAATCACGTCGCGGATCATATGTTTTACTTAGCAAAATAGGTGTATTAACTTTTAGTATTTAATTTATTATCATAATAGTATATTCAATTAAGTGAAAGGTTGAGATGTAACAAAAGAATTCCTCCAAATGCATTTAAGCATACTGGAAAACATACGCATCATGCAAGCGACGACCTTACGCAAAATGGTTTTCATTTTTGTGATGTAAAATGTCAATTCTGTGAATATTTTGTATGTATCGTAAAAAAAAATTTACTTCTGTATCTTATACTAAATACATTATTTTATAATTAGTGTACATTACCCAATGGACACACACAAAATCATAACACAACGAATGGAAATATGATACAAACTGAGTTCACCGGAGAAGATAATGAATTTGAATATGCAGGGTTAGTGTAAATTTTATATAGATTTATTAGTAATATAATTATATTCTATTAAAACTTTTTAAATTAGACATAAATTAAGAGTTGGTGATCAAGGAATTTTTGTTCCTTGTAACTTGGTATGTTTACTTCATAATTTCTTCTATTTATATTATTTCTACTCTAATTTTAAGGAATTCCTGAATTAGATTTGTAAAGATTTGGGGAGACATCGTCATATTAGCTATTGTCAAAGTAAAGAAATTTGTCAAGGACAAGATATCCAACATATTTCTGGTAATTTAATCCTTATATTTTCAAACATAAATGCATTATTATTAACTAGTTAATAAATAATAGAACAAGTACATCCTAATCCTAGCATACCAAAAGATTTCATTTCTCACAAATTGTTCTGGGAACGAACTGGTTTCAAAGGTATGCATACATAAATAATTTTCATATACTTCAGATACATATTATTTATTTTTTTCAAATTTTAGATCCTTATTCTGTTCAGGAACAACATGAATTTGCGAAATGTGATCATGAATGTCCTGATGAAAAACATCATAGATCAAGGGGGTCTACAAACGATTCAGCAATTAAATCGTTTTGCGAATTACCGCTTTTTCATGCTCAACTTAATCCAAATTCAAATCTTCCTAATGATTATGGATACATATCCATGGATGGGCATCATTTTAATTGTGATAATCCGAGTACACGTGAAGTCGCTTTTCATATTATCTTTGTCTTAGATCGTTCAGGTTCTATGGGAGAACGGGATAGAAAGCCAATTCAAGAATTTTCAATTTCCAATTATTTAAAGTATTGGAATCATAATAATAGGCTTGGCGCAGTTTATCATGCAGTATGGTTAAAATTTATTAATGTCTTTGCAAAACTTAGTTTTATAATTAATATGTTAAACTTTTTAATATTAGGTGTATCAATTATTAAATGCACGTATAAATTCTGTTAAAACAAATCAAGTAATTAATGATAAAATATCATTGATCTTATTTAATAACGAGGTTTGATATATACACGTTAATATTTAAATTTAATAATTTGAATATGTGCTAACTATAATATAATTAAAGGTTATCGTTCCGATTGAGAATCAAGATCTAAAAGATCCAAAAGATCCGATGAAAATGTTGGATATAATGATTCAACACCATCCTGATAATGGATCGAATTTCATACTCGCAATTCAGAAAGCTGGATCTTTGATTTCATCTTACCATGATCCTACAAGGTATGGTTTAAAATAATATTTATTAGTTCTTGTTAGTAAAACTAAAATTATTCTCAATTTTTTAGAACAAATATTATTATCTTCTTATCTGATGGAGAATGCTATATTCCAGAAAAGCAGCTTCATGAAGTCTTTAAAGAAAATCAATCAAGAGGGTAATTATGGTTAAATTCATGTATTATAAAGTAATAAAATTTGAATTCTAATATTTCTTGGAACTCCAGATCCCTATTATATCTCTATACAGTATTATTTAGCAGCAACTCGGCCTCATCCTCCTTAGAAGAAATGGCGAAAATCGCACAATCTTATCATACTAATTACACATCATCAGGTTGCTTGCGATCTCAATTTACTCGAGCCATCAATGAGATTAGTTTAGTAAATCATTTTACTAGTATTGCAGAAAGTTTAAGAAAACATAAGCCGACTTTGTTAAAGAAAGATCTTATTATGCACTTATGATTTTTAAAATTTTGATATTCTTGGCAGGTTTTTCTTCCTCTTTAGGATATGAAATTGTATGAACATAATTTTATTTTTATAATTATTTTTTAAAATAAATCTTTTATGTGTATTCATGGTTTGCGATGTGAAGAATTATCCAATCACCAATAAAATATTGCTCAAAATAATTTTATTATAATACAATTACATACTCGAAAGCAACATATAATAACTAAACAAATTCTTCATGATACTCAACTTCTGAACAATTCAGAATACTCAAATTAATATTGTTATAAAAAAAATATTTTAATTTTATTATTTATTTAAAATATATTTAATAGATAAATCAAAAAGTATTTCAAACTTACTATATTCTCAGAATTTGAAATTTAAGATCAAGCATCAAGAAATGATATAAATAAGTAATTTTAATTTGTGTGAACTTCAATAAGTAAGGAGATTTTAATTGGTTGTTATTCTACTCCGCTCTTTCCATTTCTTCTTATGAAAGATTTTGGAAATTTCTTTTATTTGAAATTATTTATTATTACTTTTATTCAATTTGTACGTTTGTTTCAGAAGTAATTTAACTAGGCTGTTTCCTGCGTACATTATTTGTAATTATTTCTTCATGATTTTATTTTTTCTGTTCTAAAATTTAGTATAATCAATTGGATAGAGAGAGAATATTATGCGATAGAAGGAAGAATAATTGGAAGCTAGCTGGCGACCCTACTACAAGGCTTATGAGTAAATATAATGAGACAATGGATAAAATATTATCAATCAGTTTCGATTTAAAATCGGTACATGAACGATAAGCCATGACAAAAAAATCGGGCATGAAAACTTGATTCGAATGTACAAAATCAGGGCGAGAACGATTTGTGAGGTTCATAAGGAAGCATAAGGTACAGCCGTCTGTCAAGCGTATTTGCCCTCCCAAATCGAATATAAATTTATATAGAAGATAATAGAAGGTTTACTTTGCCAGTTATTATCTCCTTGGCTATTAATTTATGGTTGTTTCATGAAAAATTTTTTCTTTTAAATTAATCATAAAGTTAAAAGGAATAAATTTTAAAATCTTCTCCGAAGTAAAAGATGTCGGATTCTGTATTGAATAAGGGGCTAATCAACAACACATTTGCGAGAAGAAAACCATATCTTGATGAAACATTGTTACTCAAACAAATTCGCGTCTTTTGTCTTCAGCTAATTATTATCCTCAATTTTTAGTTTCTTTTAGCTGCTGAACACTATCCTCGTTACATAGATTAATTTTCGCTGCCAAACATAAATTTTACATTGTGATAAACTTTTTTGTCAGAGCATCATAGAGACTTACGCCTTCCAATCTTTCTTCAGAAATTATGTTAACATCTGTCACTCTCAGAATTTGACTGCGCCTAAATTTAGTTCGCCGCGGCCTTGACGATCAATTATCTGTTGGAATTGACTTTTAAGACTTTACTGCAAGTTAGGACTCCTCGGGATAATGGAATGTATATGTCAAAGCTTCGAATTAGTAATTCTGCCAACTAAGCCAAAATAAGGAAATTTATTATAAAAAGGAGTCTTAGATTCTAGATTAGAATTAGATAGTTTTCCTATCTCTTTGTAGCCTATTACAGAGCGCAGTAATAGTTGCATTTATTTCCCTTTTATTTATCTCAATAATAACTTTATTAATTTCTTTATTCAATTGATTTACATTACAATTCGATATAATACATTGTTTTCTATAAATACATAATAAACATATCTCTTTACGAATTTAGGAGGTGACTCAACCACATCATTTTTAAAAATTTATATAATTTTAGATATTGTTTTTTTTGATGAGTGAGAAATGAGCTTATCCTTATCAATAATTCTATCTTTTTTTCATATTTCACTAATATTTGGCATATTATTTAAGCAAACAAAAATAAAAATTGAGTTCAAATAAAATAAAATTTGTAATAGATTATTACCTATACAACTGATTTAAATATCAAATTTACAGGATGTTATAAATGAATTAGTATTTGTAATAATAATTTATCATATAGTCAGAAATTAATTATAAACATTAGAAAGAAATTTCATCTTTTTAATTGAACCTTTTAATCGTTCTGATTTTTTTTTAAAATTTCTATAACTTGTCATCTCAATTTTTTTAAACAAAATTATTAAAGGATGGGTTAATAAGCTTTTTTCATTTCTGAAACATAACCATGATAATTACCTAGTTACACATGATTTTGTTCTGTTTTCTTTGATTTTAATCGACTAAATCCAACCAAAAATTAACTGATGAATTGAATAGTGGATTATATAGGGTTTCGATATTTTATGGATTAGTATTCGGATTAAAATTTTTAATATTGACTTGTTCCTTCTTATTTACATAAGGAAGGTAAATAAATAGAACTCATTTTTTTGATTTGATTTAAGGAAAAAGGATTATTATTTTTTATTTTGATGAGTTATTTAATTTCGTTCCAACTGTCCGACAAATCCGTAAACCGAGCTTAATTATAAGAGTAATTATTTATGATTTCTTGAAAGTCTAACAATTAAAGAATTTAATAAGAATGACATATTAAACCATTAAAAGGTTAATATAGAGATCGAAATTAACAACGCTCATATGTTCCAATATTCCTATAACAAGCTTACAAAATTACCCGACGCCTTGATGAAGATTGCTCTGTTCTCAAATTACTTTGCTACTAACTTTATCCAACTCCTGAACAAATCACGTGACAGAACAAAAATAACTAGCCAACTTTACCAATATAATCTATTACATATATAACTATCCTTAACAGAACTCTGATGTTCCAATACTTAAATAATTAGCTTACCGACTTTACCAATCTCTTTAACTCATCTTTGTTGTGTCAATACTCCAATAACTAGCTTACCAAATGTCCCCGAATAATTAACGAGTGTTAAAGCTCATCTTTAGATTTATTTATGAAAGAAATTTTAACCTATGACACCATATTTTTGTGTGTTTTGTACTGGTTCCAACGATACGTCTTTATATTTTGATATTTTTTTTGCACAGCATTGAACTTATCTGCTAAAAATTAATTAACCCCCTGAAAATGAAATTTTAATTAAAAAAAAAAGAATATAAATAGAAAAATTATTAAAATAAAAATATAGCGGTTTAAAATTATTTAAATTCAAAAATAAACTAAAAAAAAGATTCAAAAGATAAATCCAATAAAACTAAATAACGGAAATATTAGAGCTTTTAAACTTGTCAAATGCACGAATTATATTTTTTATTTTAAAGAAAAAACAGGTTCATTATTAGAATAATAAATATCGTTAACAGACCATACCATGTAAACTGAACCGATTATCTGATATTATGTAAATCGCGTAATAAATGAACACTTCACAATGACGTGTAATAATCATTTTATTTTTTAAGTGTTTTGTTTTTATTTATAAGTAAATCAATTTGTATTTCTTTCATCTCGTCAAATAATTTTATTCAATTAAAAGGTAACAAGTTTACTACAATTTATGATATTTTTATTGGTCGCTCGCTTTGAATATGGGGAACCGTGAATCTTACGTTCTGTAAAGCCTGATGTCCTTAATAATCCAGGAAAAAAAATATTCGAATTTGGTTGTCTCGTTTTATCAACCGAAGGATAAGTATTTGTACAAGTCTTGGGCAAATAGTCTATTTTTGATAAAATAAATTTAATTCATTTTTAAAGAAGGAAGATTACGGAAGGAACAGAAGGAACATTAACGCGCCTTGATATATGTAATTTTTTTTATCAAACTAATTTTTATAAAAAGGTAAATTCATTTCTTTTATAATTCTTTTTAAAAAAAAAAAACAATGATGATCTGGCCAAAATTTGAGTCATCACACATGGCAAGTGGACACAGTTACGACTAGCCTTGGGCATATAGTCGGGTGAAACTGATGATTCCCAATGTCATGTAACATGCGTTGATTAGAGACACAAGTGACTGAGATTTGTTTTCACAAAGAAACAAATTTAAGTTAGTATGAATACTACTAACATGCATCTTTTTATGGACTATTGAGTCCAATTAGGAATGATCTTTCATACCTGACGATTAAAGACGACTGGATTCAGATGTATTTATAATTTTTTGTAGAATGTGGGATTTAAGATCATCATCGCACGAACTAAATTCGAAAAGCTGTAATACAATGTAACATGATGAAACAGCAATTTATGATTAAATACATCGCTGGCTAAAATCTCTTAATGAAAGTAGGAAATTTTCGAATATATATAAATATCGTCTTAATTAATATTCTTTTAATGAACTACTGTTTGTTTAAAAACTAATTTACTTTACATAAGAAAAAATATTATTTAATGAAATTTAAATGTTATAGACCTAACTTTCAAATCAATTTAACTAAATTTGCTATTTTTTTTTTTTTTTAGATTTATTAAGCGATTATTTCGGGTTGGATCGCTGCTTTCACAAAGAACTTTTAGTTTGAATTAAATTGCTTCCGGGTGCATCGAGAAATATTTTATGAATTGCAAGAATTGCTTATACTTTATTATTAGTATTTCTTTCCAGAATTTTTTTTTTAATTATATATTTTGTTTTGATTACTTTGAAAATGCACTATAAGATCATAATCCCGATCGATAATATAAAATATTAAAAATGATAAGTATATTTTAAGAATTCAGTCACGAGTTTAACGAAGTTTATTGAGTTTTTTAAATCTTTGCTATAAAATTTTGCAACTTTGAAAATATTTTTGTCAACCATCGATGAAAATTGATACCATATGCATTATCTCATCGAAAGTTTAAAAAACAAAAACAATAATTTGCTATTAACTAATTATTATTATATTATAATTTTAAAATTATGACATTCGGATTATGACTTAAGAACTTTTTGAGGATTTTACTTAATAAATAAAATAGAAATTATGTTAGCAGATAGAATTTTTAGTTTTAATTTTTTTCTTTCGTTGTTAATAATTTAATTATTCGATA